TAGGGAAGGCTGCATCTTTTACAGATGTTTAGTGAACCACTTTTTTCATGTCTTATGCAAACCTGGTGGAGAAACAGTGTTCAGTGTAGTGTGGTCAAAAAAGCTCTGTCTTGAAGGTGTAATTCCCAGGAAATACATGTGTGCTCCCACAGAAACAATGTCAGAAAGACAGAAACGATGTCAGAAAGACTTCTTAACTTCAACATTGTTCTGGTCTCAGAGAATTAGCAGGGCTAGAATCTTACATTTTCTGTTTTAGAAAAGCTACCGACTATAATGCATCTCACTGTTTGTCCACCTGCTTATTTTAGCTATCTACTTCTTCTTAACAGGGTGAGATTCAAAAACAAACAAGAAGAACGTAAGATGGAAGGGGACCTCCGAAAAAGCCAGAGGGCCTGCCAGCAATTAGATATGCAAAAAGTGAGACCTGTATTTTTTTCAGAGTTGGAAGGAAGGCTTGTATGTTAGAGATACAGCCTACAAACAAAGTAGTGATTCAATTCTTGGAAGTTCTCTAAAACTCTGGGATAACTAACCTGAAGTCTTGGCGTTTGGCAACACTTCAGTCCTCTTAAAATATTTCAAAGCGTATGCTTGCACCCTTAAGATATCTGAAGGTGCACACCAGCCGCATGGTAACTTATGTGAAGACCTGTGTTAATTTGCGTCATCAGAGCTCACCTGGTTTTGCTCCTGCATTCTTGTGGTTACTTTTGAGCTGTTTGCGCATCTTCCAGTAGCCAATGTCAGGCCGTCCTAAGTGACAGTGCTGTTTGCCTGAAGAGAGGGAGCACCATCGTCACAGAATGGTTGACGTTGGAAGGGACTCTGGAGGTCGTCTTGTCCAACCCTCCTGCTTAGGCAGGCTCAGCTAAAGTAGGTGGTACAGGACCATGTCCAGACAGCTCTTGAGTATCTCCAAGGATGGGGATCATCACTGAGGGAATCAGCAGATTCACCAAAGAAGCATTTAAACAAAAAACAAACTACCTTCCGCCTGCAAGGAGTAACACGGGTAACAGCAGTCAACTACTATCCATTTTTGCTGCTTGAAAACTTCAAGTATTTTTCTTTTCTCTGTTAACCTGTTAGAGGTTAATACCACCCCACAAGTTCTGCTGAGATTGTTTCATACTCTTCAGGCTGCTGAGAATTAAGTTGGCTGAATTAGCTCAGATCATCTTTGTTGACTCGTTGTCCTTTAACTTTACTTGAGGTGGATGAGGAAGCGCTGTGTGATCTCTTGATAAAATAACTTTGGCCAGCACATCTTCCACTGATAAAAAAGGGTATTCACAGCCTCGGTGTGAGATTATGTTGCTGTGTAGCCTTAAACATCCTGAACGCAGATGGAATAGAACTTAATGTTAGCGTGCATTTACTTGTTTTAAAAAAAAAAAAGTGAATAATTCTTCTTGTGGATCACTGTACCTAGTTTCCCACTACAGCTTTAGTAATTCTTGGTTATACTATACAGGAAAGTGTTAAAACCTAACATCTCACCTCTTAGAAATTGTTTTTATCTAGCATCTTGCAAGAAAACCTACAAAGGCAGATAATTTTCATTTAAATCCTTCGTTATTTAAGGATATTGATGTTCCCAAGGAGACTTGGTATTGGCTAGAGCCTGAAGAGGAGGACAAAAAGGATGAGGAAGACAAGGAAGATGAATGCACAAGCTCAGACTTAAGTGTAAGCTCTGCAAGTAAATTAATGGCTTGATTCAGAATTAAATTTAAAGTTCCTTTAAAAAGTATGTATGTATACATACATGTATAAAGCATATATGTATACCCAGCATTTTCCAAGCTGCAGTGAATGGCCTCTTTGCACTCTTAGAGCAGTGATTTTTATAGCAGTTACGTGATAAAATATAAAACATTTAACCACTGATTTATTGCTCATCTGTTTTGAAGCTGATCTTGGGAAAAAGTAGTCTAGAAATGAAGTTCTAAACATTTTTTGTGTCTTAGCCAAGATATACGTATAAGATCATATATTTTATCAAAATTATTTGCTTTAGAGTTTTAATTTTGGATGCCTCATCTCATGTCTTAGATGGAATTTTAGAATCAGTAAGTAATTTCTGAAAATGCTTCACAGATTATCTCAAGATGGACACTGGAGATTCACATTTTTTGAGAACTGGATTACACAGCTGTTGTTAGCTTTATGTGTTTGATTTGCAGAGATTAGGTGTGAGAAATTCCACCAAAAATATCACATACTTGAAATAAGGTAGCTAGGCAGTATTTTTAGCTCTCTCTTCAGTGCAGGTTTCTTAGCTGGAAAGAAGGATAAGCAAACAACAGCCGTTAACAGAGATCACAAATTCCTACATGATTTGGGAAACTTTGTGCCTTACAGAGCTACAGTATTGTGTAGCTTTTCCACAGCAGAAGGATAAACAATCTAGCAAAGTTAGTAGCTGAAGCTTTTATGTCATGTGAGCTCCAGATCATCGCGTACCTGTACATATCTCCTAGGTATCAGAAAAGCTACACATCCTGACTGCCTATTTGAGAGGAGAACACTTCTATTGCATCTGGTGTGGAACAACCTATGAAGGTGAGAGTAAGTCTGTCTTGTAAGAGTTTTACTTTGCTTCTGGAGCTAGACTCAAATAGTATGATATATTGTTTATGTTGCTCTTACTGCAAGCTTTTAAATCTCCATAGCAAGTTTTCCTCCCAGGCTGCTGGTTTTTACACAAGCCTTTGTATGTTTGCTTGTAAGCCAATTTTTAGGTGTTTACATGCACCAAAAAAACCACCTAAACCAACCACAGCAATACTGGCTCTTGCTTGAATTGATATTCATGTTAATTTTGTTTTGAGAATACAAAATTCAGATATTAAAACTAGTACCATAAAAAGCTGCAAAAGCTTGCAAGTGTAACAGAATATTGTCCCGTTTCACTGCGCCAAAGAGGTTAGAATTTGTGTTCGCTGTTTTAAAACAAAGTTTGGAATTAGTAACTTGCAAACCTTCCTGAATTCTATTTAATCTGCTTTATGTGGATTCTTCAAATAATTCTAGGAACTTCCCCCCCCGAGCTGGAATTACTCACTTTTCCTCTGCTTATCCTGTAGACTCCGAAGATTTATCTTCAAACTGCCCTGGAGACAGTGCTGCAGATCATGACTAAAGCATTTCTACAGGAAGGAGTCGTAGATAAGTACGTATAGTTCATTATATCTTTTAGAAGGTTCAGAGCGTGCCATACTGAATAACTCACACCAAAGTATGCAGAATAATAGTTACGTTAACAGGTTAAACTCTCACATTTCTGGAGCATCTTACAGATTTTCTGCTTGATGCACAATTTAATAGCAATTAAAACTTTGCGTTTATAATTGAACTACCATAATTGAGAGGCAAGTTAAGCCTTCCACAGTCTTTGGTTATGCCCTGCCCAACTAAACAGGATCAGCTGATAATAAAGTTCAAGTTTGAGTAAGGCAATAAATATTGGCTGGTTACTCTGTTGTATAATGTGTTAAGCATGTTTTTTTCATCTTCACAGAGATGACTAAACATCAGACCTCTTTTCCTTACTATCTTAGACTCGGTGGGAAAAAAAAAAGCTTGTGAAACGTTACAGTGGCATTATTTGAACCAATATTCTGTTGTATGTAAAGATGCATGTTTTGCATAACTAAGTAATACCGTATCATGTTGTTGGTGGATTTTACATATTAAAAATAGATTTTAATAGACTTTTTATTTTTGGGGAACAGCAGTTGCTACTGTAAACAGTCACTAATAGAAAGATACTGCCGAAGTACACAAATACTATGGGAAAAAAAAGTATTAAAAGCTACTGGGACAAGCTTAATATTACTTAACAGTAAGAAGGTAATATTATGGGTGCTCTGTCCAAGAACTGTAAAGGATATTCAGCCAAAGTTTGTCACATATCAATTTTCATATTTTAAGAGTAGTTTTACGGGTGAAAGGGAAGAGGATGTGGAACTAGTGGTATTTTGTGTGTGTCAGGATATCATTTCTCCCAGATCTTGACCACTGCAAAGAAATACTAATTAGTCCAGAATAGCGAAATGCTCTATGTATTTGTGATTGATGATAAGGAGAATAAAACAACTTCAGGCCTTACAAAAGGATGTAAAAATCAGATTCTTATTTATTGACAAATACTTGCAGCAGAGCAGCAATAATTTCCATAAGAATATAAAAATTACTATGCAATATTTTATATAATTCCTTTTAACCACACACTTTTAACTCACTTAACATTTCAGAAAAAGCATACAGTATTTTTTGTGACACGTAGTGCATATTTTTCTGCTTGGAAATCTCTGCTCACTTGCCTTTATGGAGTTATGTGGGCTCCACAGCAATGAATAGTTTGACAGGATACAGCTCAAAGACAAACATCTGAAGGAGTAATGTGCCTGTCTTTTCTCCCTGCTCCCCACCACCACACACAATTCTTCCAGTCCAGGCAGGTCTGAACTCTGAAGTATGTAACTAAAGAGTAACGGGCAAATTTTGGGGGGGCTGACAGTAAGGCCATCAAGGTATTCAGTACACTTGGTTAAGGGTTAGGCAAGCCTCGATATTACAGTAAGGGATTAAAACCTAGCAGTATGGGAAAGAATGTTTAAGGTGCTCTCTTGGCACAGGATTTAAAGTGGTTACTGCTGAGGAAATTCTGGAGAATTTTGCTATATTAAGAGCACCTTAAAGTGTTCATTTCAGGGAAAAAAAAAAACCAACTCAAAACCTCAGATTTTCACAAGTTTAGAGCAAATCTAAACTAGATCTCCTAGAAGCTGAATGCTTAACATTTAAATTCTCAAGGAATCTTTACCTTTAAAAATACGTATTTTTAAATTCTAGAGCACTGAAGGTGCTAGGTGTGCAACAGGTGTTTAGAGATAAGAAAGTTCACCTTAGAGAACTGAAATTCAGTGAAAAATAACCCACACCTAATTCTAGTATCCTTTCTACCAAAATCAGTCTTGGTATTAATGGGAGCATTTCTAGTAATTGTTAAAAACATCACTGAACAAACCAGAAAGGTTTGAGTCACGTGCCACAAGACAGCACTTCTTCCACAGAAAGCAACAGATAACCTCAACTAATAGTGGACACAGCACGTGTCAAGAGCATGGATACGGGTTTGCCACAGGCAATTTCGCACCACATCAACGTGATCTTCTAAGAAACAAGGACTAGATTCCTGTACTTGTTGTACAATATAGTTCAGCTCATGCACAGCTTGTGTTTCCAGGTAAAAATCGCAACAGATTGCTTGCAGAAGTTCGCTGTCCTGGTCTGCAGCTGAATGGTGATGTGACTCTTCTGGCTAACGAGCTCCTGAGTGGCAGGAAGGCAAAACACCAAGTAAAAGACATATCCAAAGTCTTGCTGTTGCTTCTTATATTTACTGTTATTTCATCAGTTTCAACAGACATCAAACTCTGGATTTAAACACAGTCTGAAAGCCTTTTAAAAGGGCTTTTACTGAGTATGAGCTTTAAAGGAATTGTCTTTATCAACAGACTTGAAAAGCTCAAGTATTGCAGATGCAGAGTATCTTTCTGAAGAGTCTCTTGAAAGCATCTTTTTGATGATGGGTGCCTGCAAAAAGAAATTACATGTCAATAAATTATTTTTTATGAGTAAATAAACTAACTGAAGTAATGTATTAAAATGCCATACCTTTGTTGGAAATTCACTGGTGAAGGGCTCTGGAAGTTTACCTTCTCTAACACCAGGCCATACCTGAAATTCATAAAAGAGAACAGTTTCAGTATGTTTTCCTTGATGGTATTTTGCATCTCACTTTACGACCCATATAATTTACTGAAATAATGACAAAAAAACAAATCTACAAAAAAGGTAAGGCTTCAAAAAGAAAAGTAACAGTAAACCGTTTGAAAATGTTTTTCTGTTTAGTTGTACTTTGTTTTGTTTTCATGGTCTTGTCATCAATTGTTGTCCCTTTTTAAACTTAAAGGCTTCACAGTCTACAATGATGTGTTTGTTTCAGCAAGCCTCTCTATTTCAGAACCATTATCCCTCTTCCCTTAATTTAAAAGTAGTGGTTTGATAGCCTCTTACCACAATAAAAAAAAAGTACTATACGACTACATTTACTACTTTGGATGTCACTATTTGCAAGCCAAGCAGGTGTGCTTCCTCCCGCTTACGTTGTTCAGTACTGCACACTTATTTCTATGTCACTGCAGAAAACACTATGTGGATTTCCAAGCAACTAACGTATAGAGGATTTCTAACTGTATGCTTTCAGAAACTTTCAGGGTGACAACTGGGTTTTTTACCCCATGATGCAGCTTTCTGGGTAAACAGAGCCGTCCACATCATTCACTTTGCTGTTACCTAGCGGAACGTGTACCTGAAGAAGATGACAGTCATATTCTTGCACACTTAACTGTGCATCCTGAATCATTAGCTAGGCTTATGGATGCTGCAGCCTGGCTTTATCCAGTAAAACAACAGCTCCTGTGAACTTCAAGCTTTTTGCTTACTCTTCAGCAGTAGCTTTAGGCCTGTGACCCTACCTGCTGGTCATCAGCTGAACCAGTTACTCAGCTCATAATCATCAACTTCCCTTTTGCATGACAGCCTTTCAGCAGGGCTTGCCAGCACCATACAACAGAGTTTATCATGTTCCATTAGGTGAAATTAGTTTTTAAGATGATCCAGCAGCTGAAGACTATCTTAGGACCTTCTATCCACAACTTCCCCACCAGACTATGGACACAAGATTTTTATGATTTAAGGAAACAAGACTACATAATTGGTCCTGTCCTTTTGATTGTAAACACATTTACACAGCCAGCTGTGAGCAGGAACAAGATGTCTTAGAAAATACTGCAAGGTAGCTAAACAGAGCGAAGTTGAACCTGCGAGTCGAGCAGACACATTGGTGTGGTTTTGTTCATATTGGCAAAGTACGAAGCTAACAGTGTTCAAGAGTTTCATGGGTCCAACCATGTACATATATCTTACTTTAGACAAGATACTCAGCAGCTACATCGCTGTCCTATAAATATGAGAATATGAGTCATTACACTAATAATGTGCAAAGTACCAAGAAAAAGCAAAAGATACCTTTTCAAATAAGGCTTAAGTAAGTAGCACTGGTTTTCTTTTTGAAGTAACTTCTTTTTCAATTAAAGCTACATATGCCAAATCTTTTGTTTTCATTTTGTAAAACTGGAAGTGTTTTGGCTTGATAGAAACTTTTTTATTGTTCCGCTATGCAGTGAAGACAAGAGCATCGCAGAGACAAAACCCTCCCAGTCATAACTTTTACTTCCTAAAATTAGAATACTACTCCCTTCAGATACTCTGATCAAACAACAAGGTTTATCAGAAACTTGAAATCTTTTTTGCTAGACATTATTCTTTAGCATGCTTGGGCTTTAACGTGTATGTCAGTAGGACATGAGTGAAGTAAAACCAGTAATATTTCTTTGCCTCAGTTATTACATTTCAACCAAGGTGTGAGGACTCACAGAAATGAATCAAGGGGAAAATGTAGAGACAGTACTCCAGGAATACAGATGCCTTCTAGGATTAGGGGTCTGGAGCATCTCTCAAAAGGAAAGGCTGAAGGAGCTGGGCTTGTTTAGACTGAAGAAGGGAAGGGTGAGAAGAGATCTTACAAATGCTTATAAATATCTCAAGGGTGGGTGATAGGAGGATGGGGGCAGACTCTCTTCAGTGGTGCCCAGCGACAGGACAAGGGGCAATGGGCACAAACTGAAGCACAGGAACAACTTCACTCTGAGGGTGACGGAGCACTGGAACAGGCTGCCCAGGGAGGTTGTGGAGTCTCCTTCTCTGGAGATACTCAAAACCTGCCGGGACAGGGTCTTGTGCAGCCTGCTGTAGGTGACCCTGCTTCGGCAGGGGGCTTGGACTAGATGACCCACAGAGGTCCCTTCCAACCCCTACCATTCCGTGATTCAGTGCGATTCTAGCATGCAATCAGCATGTGATAGCAGCAACAAGATGATACAATGATGGTGAGACTTTTTTTTTTTAAATTTATAGATGACATACCTTAGTTTTCTCATGACAGCTGAGTGCTGAAAGCATTTCAAACCAAATTAATCCCAGTGCATAAATATCTACTTCCTTTCCATATCTGTCCCCAACCTACAAAGATTAGAACAAGAACAATATAGACATCATATCCAACTGGACAGCACTTCTTAAAGCAAAATTTGAAGTCAGTAGAAATTTCCACCCCAAGGCGACAGGACTGGCCCTACTTCATCTTATTAGTCATTAACCCTTTCTGCTACAGACCTTTTAAATAGTGACTGTTATGTCACATTAAACAGTCGGAAATTAAGACTTCCACAGGCCTATACAGATACAGCATGCCAATACCGCTCCATCACAAATAATGAAACAAATAGAAAGACTCAAATGTCACAGTTAACAGAGGTCCGAAATTCAGACTGAAAGACATGGCTGGCAGCCTGGTTTTGGAAGAGCATTCCTTACAGCACGCAGTCTCAGACCCTGTCGGTTAGTACAGGAAAATGAAATCGCCACACTTGCAGGCAGCTTTCTCCAGAATACACCATATCCTTGTACACAGTCATACCAGGGAACTTCAGGCAACTTGGTTTAGTACTGAGATTAGGATTATGGACATCCAATGCTGAGTTTATAATGCAAATCTAGTTACAGAGACACTAATATAGCAGGATAATTACCTGTTCTGGTGCCATGTATGATTTTGTTCCTCTGTTCTCAGTCAGAGTCCCATATGCCACAGATGTCACAAGACCAAAGTCACCTATTTTTATTTTATCTTCATGTGATATGAATATATTCAGAGGCTACATACATATAAAAAAAAAAAAATCACCATATGACCAAGGTTTATCATCAAGCATAATCAACCACAGAAGTGCTCTCCATAAAATCTGATCGTTGTTCACAGAAGTTAGCATTAAGAAACTGATGGAGTGGAAAACAGAAAAAAAGTTCAATTATTTTTTAAAAACACAAACTAAACTTATAGTAGTACATGCCACAGTAACTGCAACTTTTTTTTTCCACTAGCTTAGTCACAACTGTATCATGCTTTAATGCTCTTCAAATACATTATGCGTATAACATTTCATATCCAGAAGTGCATTTTAGTCTTCCGTCCTAGCCCTTGGATTTGATAGACTCAGGCAAAGCATTTAGGCTCACTCACATGGAATTCCGTTCAAATCAAAGGTTCCCTTAAGCACAGCAAGATTATTGGTACTGTCAGCTGCAGAGTTAGGGCTTACTACAGGCTTCTCACAATATCAGTTTTAAGTTTCTCTTGAACTTCCCATTTTTAAATTCAACAAAGTCATAAGCAGCTAAAAATAGAATTGTATATGCTTGGATAAAGTTTCCCAAAGAAGATAAAGAAGCTACATTTCTGAATGTTATTAAAACAAAATCCAATAGCCTCATGCTATCATTGACTCAAAGAAGCTCCAGTGGACTGTAAGGCCAGGAGGGACTTAAATATTAACAGGAAGAGATCTTTGTGTCAAGAATGCCCAGCGCAGTTCTTCCGTTCAGGTTTGACCATGTCCACACACATTTAATACGGTACCTATAGCTGGCTACACTATTCGAAGGCTCTGTTGATAACAGGCACAAATGGGATTCATGTCGGCTTGAACCTGTTCTGCAGCTTTGATTCTGGGACATGGAGATCTCAGATGGCCAAGCATCTAATCTGACAGCAGATCAAAGCGGGGAGAAGAGTTCCTAATTCAAATGCACACAGACAAGTTAGCAATAGGACGTGGAAGCAGGTTACAGCCAGATGCCATCGGTAAGGGACTGGTGCAGCAGATTCACAGGAACAGGGAAAAGTAGGAGATTGAGCTGAGATGAAAATACAGTAGGACTGAAGGAGCAAGAAAATACAAAGCACACAGAGTGGGAAGAGCTAAGAATTAGTGGGTGAGGAGAGAAGGCACTTCTTAGGCCTCTTTCCCAGGCATCTGGGGAAAATAATGAGTGTATATTTGTGGTTCCTCCCAGTATTGTAGCAATAAGCCTGACAGAAAAGCTCTAGAAAATAAGAACGTATCTGTCCCTAAGAGAAGATTCTACAAGTAGCCAGTGAACGTGATCTGGAACTACACTGTGAATGCAAAAGATTTCAATTGGTGGCTCAAGAAGTCCATAAACTTCAGGTAACTGGAAGTCTTGAGAGGAAGGGAACATGCATCAAGGACAGCGTCACTGTATCATCTCTCAGCTCTAACTCTCTCTAGGTATTTGGAATTGGCCACTGTATGAGGAAAACAGCATCCCAGATCAACATTTAATGTGACCCACTACAGCTGTTTTTAGGAACACCACCACACTAATGACTTTTTCACAGAGTGATTTAAAACGCTGCAAGCAACATTATAGCCGGCATATGAGGCCCTGAAGGCTTGCAACTTTGTCCTTTATAATCTTCATGTTGAAATAAAATCTTTTTATAATTGTGCTCTTGTAGGGACTGAAATTCTTCCCACAAAAGTAGCATTCAAGTATTTGTATGCATACATGATACAACAGCAACTAGAGTACGTTGTTATCAAACACAGCATGTATGAGGATAGCTAAACTATCCCTTTACAATATGGCAAGAGCAAACTTCCTAGACTCAACTTTTTTTCTTTAATTATTTTATCAAGTAAAGTTAGTATTTCTTTTTCCAGTAAGCAGTCTTGTGACCCAGTAACACATAATACACTGAAAATGCCTGTTAACTGATGACTACGGTACATTTTTTGAACCACTGCATTCTGAGATCCTCCAGTTTGCCTTCTGATTTTAGGATGAAGTCCAGCCAGTTGCTGAAAAAAAAAATTCATCGCTAGCAATATCAGAAGAGGCACACTACTAGGGTACATAGTACACTAAACAAGGACTAGAACAATTTAACACTTTGAAATTCCAATAAGTACTATTTTTGTCTATTTTTTTTAAATTACCTATCCTACTGACCTTGAGGTCTCGATGAATTAACCCTTTAGAATGAATATGTTCCACTCCTGTCAGTATTTGTAAAAATTTCGTTTGTGCCATCTTGTGATACTTTCGGTTTTGTCTATTGTTTTGAATCCAGTCTTCCAATGTCCCTTGTTCACATAATTCCATTTGGATGAAAAGACAGAGAACTGTGTCTGACTTCTGCCTGCAAAAGAAAATTATATATCATATTGAAATTGGCAAGATACAATTCCTCCCAAACCATCAATGATTCTCAGGTTCCTCCTCTTTAAAAAACCTTTTTGTTAATTATTATTATTTTTGGAGTTCCCCAAAACAAAGTCTGCAAGTTCCTTAATTTTAAAAAAGATCCTAGACCAATTTGTACTGGATATCAACAAATACAACTGCAAACCGAAGAATCCCTGCTCAGTTGCTGCATACCCTGGGAATATTCCTAACATTTTGCCTGCTTCCTTGTTCACACTGAAAGATTTCCAAGTGCCCAAATTCTGCTCCCCTCAATCCTACAGGCACGTCCTATACAGAAAGAAACAGCACAGTCCTTGGCTCCCATCTTGCCCTGTAGGAACTGCTGCAAGTCCCTGGCAGGTGTTCTCTATTCTGCTCAACAAACACAGCATTAGCCTCCCTCTCTGACCCAGAATGATCACATTCTTTCAAACTCTGTCCCTTCAAACAGGTAGTGCAGTGACCACCTGTGACATCACTCTGTGAGTTAGAGAAACCCTTCTGAGAGCAGGAATCTAGAGGAAATATATTCATCCACCTGGCAGCCTCACACTTTCCAGAAGAGTTCTCTCACCACCAGCCCACAGGGTAGGCTGAGGCTGGAGATGGTGAGGGGAAGGACAAGATGAAAAGGAGAAGGCACCACTTTTTCCTACTTGCACTGTGTGATCTGAGTGCCCTGAAATAAAGCCACCTGAGGCACTGAAAGAAGCATTAAGTGGTTCGGGACTCTCTCCAGCCTTGAGATCAGGGCACTAAGTGGAATTCCAGGCTGGCACCTCAGCTTTGAAGACTTTTTTTTCTGTCTTTTACGCTATAACTGTTCAATGTAAAATGCATAAGTGATATTGAGACGCCAACATATTAATGGTTGGGTTTTGACAAGTGACTTTACCCCACTTTATTCCTCATTTACTGAGCACACTGGACAGATACCACACCAACCTTAATTTTGAATTTCTTAATATTTTGTGGCTCTAGGTACGTGTGGCAACCTATCTGAAGGGTATGAATGTACAGTAAGTGAAAAAAGCTTACCACAGAAGCTTTGAAAATGTGATAACCTAACTTACGAGTAAAACTCTCACCACTGTTCCCAGAAGCCTTAGCATTGAAAGACTACCTCTAAATGAAAGAGGATTTCATTTTGTATTTCTGTTCTCGACAACCAAAACTGTTTTGGGCATTATGCTTAAAATGCTAACCAGAAATACTAGAATAACCCAGAAATAATGAAATCTATGAGAGCTACTGGTTGACCAGTACTTGTTAAAAAAAGGAAACTCCTGATCAGGATTTTAGCAGCCAACTGCCAGACAATTTTTTAGTTTCTGTTCTTAATTCTAGCCCCAAATTTTGAGTTCTGCATTCTTAAATTCCTCAATTGATTCAGCAAGTTCTGTGTATTAAGAGAAAGGAGAAAGATAAAATTACATAATGTATCTTATTCTTCAAGGAAAAGAAGATACAAATATACTTAATAACATAAGACCTGCTGCTGAAAAGTACTATGCCTTTTTTACTAACACTACATATGTAAGTATGCATATGAATTTATATTTGTATAATGATTTATAACCAGTCATCTGCCTTTCTTTCACAAAATTCACTATGGCAAACAAGGTTGTGAGTGCAAACTACTATCTTGCAGTTACCTTGAGTCTGGATAAGTTACGTGGTCGTACCCTTTCCAGCTACAATAATACCGCACTATGTTTTCATGCTCAAGTCCTGCAAGTCCTTTTACTTCACGCTTTACATTCCTATTTGGAGGAGCGAAAAAAAAAAAGAAAAAAACCCAAATGACATTTCCCTATAAAAATTTAATACTAAGTGAAATAAATGCATGATATCAAGTAGCAGTATACAGATAGTTTTACATTAATTTAGAAAAAGAACATAACATTCCCCTTCATACAAGTTCAAAATTGTAGTTTCAAATTATGTGGGTTTTATCTGCTCAGTTATTCAAAGTGCAAAAATGTTTTAACTATATTAGAAATGAAAGCCCTACCCAAAAAAAGCTGAAAAAAGCAGATCGTTGCAACATGTAATTACATGAGACAGCCAAACACAATGTCGCGAACACCTATGTTTTCTTTTCACCTCTGAAGTTTGTTTACATACACAGAAGTCAGTGTAAATACTCATGAAGAACTATTACTAAATTTGGCCTACACTCATTGTAACATTGCCTCGTGAAGCAAGGTCAAACCCATAAGCAGACCAGCAGTCTTTATCTGAAGAATCAGTAGAATGTTTTTTTTAGTATAGTTCTCAGGATTGCAATACAAATGAAAATAATGTTTGTTTGTGAAGAACACAAGAATTTGAAGGGCAGTTGCACAATGTAAGGAACAAGTATCTCCAACACCTTGAAACTTTTCTAATAGATAAAAGAAATTCAAGTTTTTCAGCTGCTGATAAAATACTCCACTAGGTACTGCTTACTGAAAATTCCTTTAAAAAAAAAAAATAAGATCATCATTCTCTGTTGAGATTTACAAAGGACAGGTAACACAGCATGAGAATAATGACAACGAGGGTCATATGTAAAACATTTTGTGGGTTGTAATTGGAAAATGCATTACTTTCATTTTTCTCTGTTTTCCCTAATTATAGTCGCTATGCATTACTGACAGGTAAATTTTCCACGTAAACTGGCAAAAGTAACAGTGCTGCTTTCAATATTTTATTAATCAGCAAGTTTTCTTCAAACACATTTTGCAGTATTAACAACCAGAGCACTACTGTGTTCAAGAAAGTAGAACTTAACAAATCTACTTTTTCACAGCTGCCTCTGAAATTGTTCCAGCACACACAAAAATTAACAAAGTTGCATGCCATTTTCAGCTTCATTTAGAAATAAAAAAAACAGTTTACCAGAAAGAATGGACAATTAATAATGAAAATTGCTTAAATGCTCCTAGGATTATTAAAGAGACAAAACAAAGTACTAAAGTCTTGATTAAGGTTGTCCTAAAACAAAAAAAAACAGAAGTAAATATACTGTACGTACTCTGTGAAGCGTACTCGTTTCACTGCATAGGTTCTCTCATCAAGCTTTGCTGTTGCTTTGAAAACATTCCCAAAACCACCTTCACCAATAGGCTCTATATTTTTAAAACTCTCAAGAAATCTTAAAAAAAAAAAAAGAAACAACTTACAAGATATAAAAACAATCCTGACATATCTAATACACCTACTGAAATATCATTCTACAGGGATCACTCAACACCTATACAGGTCTAAATCATACTCTTGAAGATTAAAAAAACAAGGGAAACTGACCCTTGAAAGCATGTAGGTTCGTTACCTTCAGATCTTCACACAAATAACTTTTGGTTGTAAGCATTAAATATCATTGCATGTCAGTTGCTATAGTATATTTGAAATTTCCAGGTGGAAAAAATACCAAATTCTTTGAAAGTTATTTTTATAGCAGTATTTTCCCACATTCTGTTATAAACAAATAAATCTAGACCACTACATACTGTAATTGCCATACAGATCTTACTAAAAAAAGAAACAAAACTTCTTACCTTTTATTCACAGTGTGTGGACTTTCATTCTCCTCACCAGTATTTGTGTCCAAATCTGGCAAACTTTCATCTGAATCTGATGTCTTTTTTTTCTCTTCCTTGTTTCTTGCATTATCAAAATTAGCTGCCAATTTTCTTTAAAGAGGATAAAAGCAAAACTTACAATGAGCCATTTTTCTAACATGTGACAACAGAAATGTACCTCCCAACAGTGGCATTTCTTTGCTAGCTATAGAAACACAAAAGTGGTTTGCAATATAGTTTGTGGGAGATTGCAACCTAGAAATAAACACGTACCTTTTGAATTTCAGGGCAGAACTTTGTGCATCTCTCTACATGAAAAAGAGAAAAAGAGCTAACTGAGATATCTTGAATATTTTCACTACCCTTAGTTTAAAATTTGTCTAAGAATGTGTCTAGGAATTGTCTATAAATGTGTTCATACCTTATATAAGCAACGTGATAAGAACCAAGCCATATCTTAGCTTAAAGTTTTTCACATGCTACATACAACATCATCATTCTTCCCACAGAAAAATATGAGCCCCTTTCTTGGGAGTACTTCCCTTTTGGTCAACGGTACATAAATTGGGTCCACAGTACCGAAGTAAACAACTAATGGTTAACAGTAAGAAGGTACTGAATATTCTTAGGAAGAATGCACATGTGTTCTGTAGTGATTCGTAAAGGAACAAACTGGTGCTACGCTCTGACAGGATGCTTGCTCTGTTCAGGGTCTAAAATGTAATTACAAGGAAGACCATTTTCATACTACACCTGAGAAGGCAAAGGCTTTTCACATACTGCCAACTTGGGAGTTGAGTCTTCGAAGCAAATATTGCTGTTATTGAAAAATAATAGACTAGTTTTAGGTGAAAGTAACACAGTCATAAATAAAATGATTGCCACACAAAAAAAAGCAGCACAAAAAAGAATACACAGTTTTTAAAAGCAAAACCTGAAAAAGCACTAACAATCCTGACTGATTTAAACTACAAAACTTTACGCTGGAAAGCTAATAAAACAATACCATTTTGTAATATAATCCTCTATTTGTATTATATGATAACATATCTAGGTATCTATATGATACATATTATATTATATGCTCTAATTAAATACAGATGTTTATTTCAAGGCAGTGCTGCCACCTCTACCACTGCACATATCAGCTTGCTTTACAGTCACACAAAGAACATAACAAGCAGTAGCAGCACTGCAGTCAAATTAACTGCTGAACACAAAAGGCTTGACCCAGGGTTCCCAAATCACAAATGAAACTTTATGCATGTTCACTTTCTTTCATTACGCCAATTTTCCCTTTGGTGGAAATGAAGATTTATGGAGAATAAAAAAGGAAAGAAAAAAAGAGAAGAAAGCAGAATGAGGAGCACTGGAAAGTACCAAAACTGAATTATACTGAGTTCACATGAGTGTCACCACAGGAAAATGAGTGTTAAAAATGGCATTAAATAATGCTACTGAATGAGGTAGGTTATTCTGTTTACACCACAGTAAAAATGTTTCTGAAAGAACTACTCATGGCAAAATATAAATATATTCAAAAGCTCTAAAATTATTATAAGCTAACCCGTAAGCACTCAGATAAAATTGCACAAGTACAACAAATTTTGCTCTGAAGTCTAAGAAATAAAAGTTAAAATTCAATGGCTTTATACAGCTATAAAGAAACTATGACTTTCTTTAGAACTGGATCACATGATCCTCTAAGGTTAGTAAATACTTTTCGTTATCACGTTATCAGTGAACCCAACTTACTCTGAGTCAGCCCGAGTTGGCACGCGAGAGGAATTGCTATATTCACTAAAAGTAGAATTGCTGCTGGATTTTTCACTTGTTATCTGAAAAAAGAAAAAACAAGAACGGTTAACAAAATCCCGTGGAAAAATCGCTAGTGCAAGAGATGCCATTCAAAGAGGGAGGAGGGAAGATTACAGGGTCCTAAATGGAAGTTGTTCACTGCGCTGAAATTCAAAGCCCTGCAGAAGGAAGGCATCTGCCCGACTTCCACCCAGAGGAGTGAAACACAGGGCCCTGTCACAGCGAGCATCTTCCCACTCCTACTGAGACTCCATAGACACGTTTGCAGCAGTAGAGTCATGGATCTATTAACAATCAGGGTAAGAGTAACAGTTATTAAAAGCAAATGTTTTCATTGCTTACTCCCTATGCAATTCTCTGTGTGGAAAACCAGGTGTATGTAGGTTTTAGTACGTGTACTCAGCAGAACAGACAACCTGAGTCTGTACAAAATGACATTCAGTGTCTTCAGTGTGAAAACCCTGCAAAACCCGGATTACTAAATTGGGGTCAACTAAAAAAATTAATCCCAAATACTTGGTAGAGATTCTTCCCGCTTTTTTCTCCCCCCTCTTCCTCCATATCATAAGAGCATTAATGTAACATTAAACGCAACACCTGCAATTGTTAAAGACCACAACGTGGTAAAAAGTAAAAAAACTTAAGGGTTTACGTTTCAATGATAGCCAACAACAACAACAAAAAAACCCCAAACCTTTTTTTTTCTTTAAATTCAGGAATACTAGGCCTTTACTACTTTTTGCTAGTTACATTTTGTTTGTTAGACAGACACCACTGGTGATTAATAAATATTAAAACCAAACCAAAACAACCCCCCTCATATTTAGAGTAATTGCTACAGAGATTCTGCTTGAGGTTGTAAAGGTCAGACTTCGATGAAAATGCAAAGACCCGTGAGCTCACAACACAGGAAACTATTAAGGAAGGATTCTAGAGCTACAGTAGGCCATTAATTACGCAGTTAACTTAAAAACAATAAAAGAAGCATTTAAAATTCACAGTAAATAGCCAAATAATGAAAAAAGTACTTAAAGTAAAAAAGATTTCTTTTGTCCCCTGTAATGCCTTCTTTCCCTTTAAACTGCACTGCATTTAAGTTAGTTCATACGTACTGCTCTGTGCATTTCAGAGTGGGTTTGGATCACTCTTAGAATTTGGATAATTTTTTGCACGTATGGAAATACGATCGCCACCACGAAGACAACAGCTCTGCTCTCCAGAGGAGAGTTTTAGCAATTGCTTCACTAGACTGAGCCACGGAATGCTACAGAAGGCAAGTCCTGTTGATTCTCACTCCTGCTTTTGCCTTTCTCACATTTCACAATAGATTTTTGATCTAACAGAAGGCAGTAAGAGATTTATGTTCATAGCCAGTCAGCCCAACAATACTTCACACAGGAGACTACCAGTATATTAGAGCAGTCAGGATTCAGGAATTTTTAATATCTGTGCATCCTTGAATGACAACATATCAGACCATATCATTCTGAAATACACAGAGATATCAACTGTGGTATTTTTTTAATCCAGCAACACAACATAAATTTTACCACCAGAATCCTGTAGCCCAGCCAACCCAGTAAAACATCGATTGTTTCCCTCTTGAATGAAATGCATAGAATGATGGAATAGTTTGGGTTGGAAGTGACCTTTAGAGGTCATCTAGCCCAACCCCCCTGCAGTGAGCAGGGACATCTTCCACTAGACCAGGTTGCTCAGAGCCCCATCCAACCTGGCCTTGAATGTTTCCAGGGATGGGGCCTCCACTACCTCTCTGGCCAAACAGGCTTTTAAATAGAATAAGGAAATTTGTTCAAAGATTAAAGATACAAGAATTAAACTTCTGTCTTAAGGCTAAATATAACACATACTGTTAGAGCGCCTTCCATATTCAGCTTCTCAAACGCTTGTTTTGCAGCAGCTTGTTTTGCAGCAGCTGAAGTATTTCCAGTGCCAGTTCCGTACAAAACACCACTAACTGTACAGCTACAAGAAAACCTGCAAAACACAACAAGGAATAAAATCTTACATCCCCTATGATGTCTTAATTATATGACTTTGAACAGTACAGCAAATTGACATTATAGAATGGAAATCTGAAATACACATCTTCAGGACAGTATTTCCAATATACATTTAATGTAATTAATAATGGTAGATAACTAATTTGACATGCCTTCAAGATAAGCAGCTTGCAGAGACTGAATATTTAGCACTTTTTAAGGTTGAACTCCTCAAAGCATCGTACCGTGTGCACCCACAATCACAAATTATCTGCAGTTTAGGTTATAAAACACTTGATTTTGCAGGGGAAGAGAGGAGGAGTTTTCCAGGAGATGTCAAGAGAGTTAAAACATGTAGATATTCTTTATCATCCCCCAACTGTCATTAACTGGAATGTTTCTACAACTCGCTGACTGCAATACATACAGAAGGGGACACAAACAGGCTCTCTTTGGCACGTGGTTCCTAGGGGTCTCCAAAATACGTGCCGAGAGGTCCACAAAGGTGCCAGAGCTACAACCAAGATAACAGACAATTTGTCAACACCGACTACCATTTTATCATCATGTCACTCCAGTCTTCAAAAAGGGCAAGAAGCAGGACCCAGGGAACTACAGGCCGGTCAGCCTCACCTCCATCCCGGGAAAGATGATGAAGCAGCTCATTCTAGAGGTCATCATCAAGCAAGTGGAGGAAAAGAAGGTTATCACAAGTAGTCAACATGGATTCACCAAGGGGAAATCATGCCTGACCAATCTGATAGCTTTCTACGATGGCATGATTGGCTGGCGAGATGAGGGGGGAGCAGTGGATGTTGTCTACC